CAAAGAATTCATTTTTTCTACACATACAACATATGCTTACAAACCCTACAGATTTCAACATTTATATTATAGATTGTAGTGCCAGTGGAATCAACATCTACAGAGAACTCTTTGGGAATAAGATAAGTCCATAACGCAAGCCTTGTGGTCCATTTTACCCCTTCAGCTGTCAGCAATCTCACTGGATTCACAGTATCCTCACAAAACTCTAGCCCCTAGAGAAAGGGTTTTTAAATCCTTTCATCTTCACTGTAGATATCACAATATAGGTACACGTCTATGTATCGACATTTCTTCCACCACTGGTGATTACAGCAATTCTGTAGCTGATTATGTGAAATAAAATGTGTTGGCACAATTAGCAGAGAGGCCATTTTGACAAATGCCACTGTGTACCAGTCTGCTCAGACTCTCTGCTGGAGGTCCCTTTAAATGAGCTGAAGGAAACTGTATCGTGGCCCATCTGTTCTGTTTCATACCCTGGTATCTCAGCTTAAACTGTAGATGAACTATGCATGTCCTAGGGCATCAATTTTCTATTTCAAATGGCTGAGGTAGATGTGCTTTGTCTCCTCACCCAGCTACAATGTTTGGTGGTAAGCTCCAAGAAAGCAGTGGTAACAAACACTGGGTAATTGTAAAGGCTTAACTCACCTCAGGTCTTTATTCTGTTGAATATGAAGCAGAAGCCTCTGATGTTTTCAGATGTCTCCACTGCTGGGGGGAAAAACAAACCAACCCAAACCAAAATCAGCCGGTATTGTAGGCTCCAGCAGAATGATGGAAAGTGTAATAGCTATTCCACAGTCATTCTGCAAATATCCTGCACAATTCAGTGCCTTAAGGAAGAGATACATGGTTTATATCCATAAAGGTGAAATAGGCTGTGTCTTGACAGCATACTGTGTTTGAGATTGTTAACACAAAAACCTACCATAGAGAAATCTATTTACAGTTTTGGCAGGCTCAAGGACTAAGCAAGGAACAGGTATGCAATGTGTGCAAGAGAAAGAAAGAAAACTTAATAAACCCCATATAACAAAACTTCACTTGAAATTATTAATTAAGCTTCAAATACCAAGGGCCTGAACATAGATTAAACTTCAAAGTCTGGACACAGAAGTACTGTGAAAGTAGAGTTCACTGCAGAAAACTTTTGTTGTTTTTGTTTGAGGGACTCAAAAACTGAGCTTGTGCATGGCTTAATAAAGTTTGATAGCTCCTTTGCATGGAAGGAGGAGGCATTTGACAGAGTTTTTTTAAATCACTGTAAAGTAGCTTTGATAATAATAATGGCACAGAAGGAAAAACCAGTCATGTAATATTGGTCATTGCTCTGTCCTCAGCACAAAAAAGTCAGCTACTTGCCTCTACACATTCACATTCTCCTATTGCTAACACTGGTATATTCAGGCAACACTTAACAAATGAAAACAAGATTTAAGTGAAAAAGCTAAAAGACTTTGAGGGTTTTATTAGACAAACATAGCTACATCGGCATTGTTATATAAATGAAAACTATGATTTCAGTATGCATTTATTAAATCCTTTGTTCTTTATGACTAAAATGAAAACCTAAGAAGGCTGGCAGAAGCTACAGAAATTCGAGAAATAAAATTATCACAATATTTTAAGGATAGCACAAGTACAGCTCTCCAACTGGGTTCAGAACAAGCATCAAATCCCACAGAGAAGGAGAATATAAAAGATGTGAAGAAAAATGCGACTGATATGACAAGAGAACACATCTTGCCTTGATCTGGCAAAACTTACACGTGTGAGGAACTATATGTATGTATCTCTTGGCTTTCCATTTATAACATTAAAAGAGAAAAGGAAAAACAAACAAACAAACAAACAAAACCAAAACCAACCCAAACTCAGTGTCTGAATGTTTTCCTTTGTATAGACAGCAGTTCCAGATTCTTGATGCCCCAGTTTTAAAATCTGCTCCAGATTTCCTTATCATCCTTCACCACTGCAAGAGGTATATAGACCAACTGCAAGAGGTAGAATAGTAATGAAACTCTGTAATTTCTTACAGACAATAAAAAGTTCCAGATGAAGAAGAACTAATGTTTGGCAGTTCATGATGAGGGGATACAACCAAGGAAGACATTTGTGAAAGTACAATTTGCTCTTGTCATCTGTGATGTATGCTATTACATTTCAAATTAATTTCAGTATGCATAATTTGGGATACATTAAATTTCAAATTGTTGGTGTGCATTTTTCATCAGCAGCAACTGAACTGTACATTTTAGCTCTTTAAAACTTCTAGCTACGGATTGCTGAGTATACAAATTGCTGCGTGGACAATCTGATATGCATTATACAAACATAACAGAAGACTGCCTCAGATGAAAGAACAGCTGGTGGCAGGATACAGAGAAAACTGTATCTCCCATTACCTGTGTTGTTTTTGCTGGTTTTTTTTTTGCTTTTGTTTTTTTTCCTTAAAAACAGCATTTGTCTATGTAACAGAAAAGAATTAGAGAATAAATCTGAATGGAGATCTGCAAGTTATTTGAGGCCTCATATATTGTCATGCAATACATAGGGTTTGGTGTAGAGTTAGGACTTAGCAGGAACTATGTATGAGTTGCAGCCACGTGGGCGCCCTTCTCCTTGGCCAATCACCCTCAAGTATTTCTCTCCTGCCCGTATATCCTCCAGTCTGCTGTTGCTCAACTCTGAAACTAGTTTTTTCTTTTGTGTATTAAGAACTGTTCTGCAGGTAATATCTGCAGGCATTAAAGAAACAAATTGTTGTCTTTAGAGTAAGGCTGGATGTTTTCTGGGCTTAACTACACCCACCACAGTAATAAATAAACTGAAACAGCAGCTAGTGAGTCAGAATACATCATCACTGAGGGAAATGTGGTTGTTCAGCCTGAACCTGATGAGGTTCAACACAGCAAAGTGCAGAGTTTTGCACTTGGGCTGGAGGAATCCCAGGCATCCCTACAGACTGGAAGGAGCGGTCCTTGAGAGCAGCCCTGTGGAGAAGGACCTGGGGGTCTTGATAGATGAAAAACTTAATATGAGCCAGCAGTGTGGCCTTGCGGCTCGGAAGGCAAATGCTATCCTGGGCTCCATCAAAAGAGGGGTGGCCAGCAGGGACAGAGAGGTGATTGT